TTAGTAACGTTGCATGTATAAATATGTTGCTATAGTTCATGTTCCTCCCTAGATAGTTTCATCAGGTTGATGAAAAGCAAAGTTTTATTTTCATTCATAATCACTCTTGTTAAACAAGTGGTTGTGAATAAAAAACTTTGCTATTCAGTTCATAAATTTTTACTGTTGCTCTAAAGTCTAAACAACATTTTCTGAAAACTAAATACTCAAGTGTGAACTCAACTTTAAATCGGCAAACACAGATGTAATGGATGTTTCCACAGTTAATTGCACTCTTTCTTACCTGATTACCAAAGACACCGATGGCAGTTGCCGTGGACACCTCCTGTGGACCGAACCACACGGCCGCCAGGTGAGCAGGGATGCCCAGGATGAACACCTGTGCACTCGCACTTATCGTCTGCGCTGCCATGGCAACACCAATCAGATTCCTCCCCATACTGGCCAGTTTCAGACACGCCCCCACGGCATTCATTCCCGATCCCAGGATAGTCACCAAGCGAAGACCCCTAGCGTCTAGTAACCACGTTGCAGGGAAAATGAATGGGATGTAGCATAGCATGTAGAGCATAGAAAACCAGTTGACTACGAAGGGGGATGTGTTGTAGTATTGCACGATGATGTTGCTGATGATCCCGTATTGGATCCACTGGAAGGCGTTGCTCATGGAGCAGAGACAGAAAATCCCCAGGATGACCCACCTGCGCGTATAGACCTTGTGCAGTTTGGGTTGCTCCATGCTATGTTCGTTTTCTTCGTCTGCTTGCAGTAACCGGTGTTCACTGTCAGGATCAGGGCTTTCTGTTACCATGATATCAACCAATATTACCCTGGTTTGAAAACATACCTCATCTAGTAATCAACAGATTGATTTGAGGTAGTTTTCAAACATGACCGTGCAGTTTTTCGGGTTATACACAAGGAGCTCATTCAGCTGACCAAAAAGTCATTCCTCCATATTTGGAGACCTTTGACCCACCCTCTCCCCTCTCACTGGTGCACAGTGCATCCACGCCATCTTGCGGAGCTGATCTAAAGTGTATAAATTTACGTAGTTTTCATTTACATGGTAGTTCCTGGATGTCATAAAGTTTATAAGCAGCGTAAACGTGGCCATATATTAGTAAGAGGTGCCTCATTTAACCGTTCCTATCTATACGTTGTTCAAAGCTGGCGAAGACGCCCCAACTGTACTTGGTGGCAGCGAGTTCCACTCTGTGGTCAATCTAGGAAAAACGTTTCTGAACACCTCAATCCTTGGTTGATAACTCTGGAACTTGCGCTTTGCACCAGAAAACACGTCTCAATCGTTGATAACTGGCACCAGTATCGTGGGCACTAAGCTTGTTTTTGCCCATCTGAATATTATTCAGTACCAAGGACACAGGAAAGTGCGCAAGGGTGAAACTCGATATCAAAAACAACCTTGTTGCTTTTGTAAAGAACGGAACACAAAACAGATACAACAGAACATGCAAAAAGCACCTCTGACATTGATACTTGAGTGTTGGTTCCCTTTTTCACTTCCCGACATTTCTAGGTACAAAATAAAAAAAAAGAATTGAACAGAAGCCTAATTGACTTATAAAAACGAATCACGCTCAATCACATGTGTATCTATCTGTATATATATATATATATATTAGATCAATTCAATTTTATAATATATAGATATAGATAGATAGATATATTAAAATTAAATGTTTTTTTACAAAATTTAAAAAATAAATTAAAAAATAAATACATAAATACATAAATTTAAATAGATTTTTTGTTTCTTAAAATTAAATGTTTTTTTTTAGATTAAATGTTTTTCCTACATTCGGTAGCGGTAGGTAGTAAATTCCTTTTGTTCTGAAACGTTTGTGATGACGTCATAGATGTTGTGTCTGAAAACCAACTTACCCGATTCGCAAAGGTGGACAAAACGTCATGACAAAAGACTGTGTCTGAAAACAATAAAATGTAAACTGATCTCTTTTTAACGCTAGCTATTGTGCACCACCATCACCACCTCACACCACCTCGAGGTGGTTGGCTCACACCGCACACAGGCAAACATGGAAAGGTGTGTCAAATTTGAACTTGAAGGAGTAACAGTCATGTTAATATCCCGTCCACGTGGATTTGTAAAGGAACGCCGACTTTTTGGTAAGTGAAAACCTAAGTAGCTACTTAAAGCGACAAACATTCTTAAGGGCACACTTTGTTAAAAGTTCCGTGAACATAAATTACGGAACTTTCAATTTTTCGCATTGCATCTGTACATGGCACGGGAAAATCATTTCAACAACAAATGTAAGGTATCGAGAGTAGAGAAACACTGGAAACATAATTAGGATTAAAAACATGGATTATAAGCCTCGAGCTCTGTCAACCGAATATTGCTTCCCAACCGCTGAACTGCTCTCAACCATGCAGTACCGCAGTGGTACACATGTGGGCATGCTATGGTCGTGATTTTTGAGTGGGACATAGATTGTCGGGCCCTGGGTACCTGACGTTTCGCGCCCAATAGCTGTCTTCTTTTGTTGGGAGTAGGTTGGGAGCATGGTCGGGCGTGGTTGGCTACAGGTCGGCTGCACCGGTCGAATGTTTCAAAATGTTTGAAACATTTACATTCGGGAGTCTCCACTGGTGGTTGGGAAACAGTTGGTGATTGGTTGGCAAAGGCGGTTGGGGCTAAGTCGGCAGTGGTCGGGAAGGGTGTCAAATTTTCCAACCACGCCACA